GCTCGACTCGGAAATTCGCTCCTAGTACTCCTCGGTTGTCCTTCTGAGCGGTAGGATTTAGGCACAACCGAGAGGGAGCGTGACAGTCTAGCTCCTTCCGAAATATTCCAAGGACAATCTCCTGTTAATTAAGTCGCCCGTATTGTAGAATGATTGTGACAGCCGAGAAAAGTTTTCGGGAAGATACCATGTGGCAGGCCGAGACTGCTGGAAATGATACTCCTTGGGCGAGTCAAACCAGGAAGCAAGCTTAGAATACTTCTTCACGCAGCTGTTTTACAAGAGGACAAGACTCAAACATAAGGTGAAAAACTGAAATGCTAAGGTTAATTTTAGGCCTAAAATCAATTTCTGGCCGATCTTTCAGTTTTGCTGCTTTCGCCTTCTTCGCAAATGTATTCAGTCCTAGTTTCGTATCATAGCTGATTGTGACATTCCGGCTGTAGCTTTTTCTGGTTTCCAAAATGCCATTGCCCATTATTCCATGCACCTTAGTTAGTAACTATGACTTCACGGAGTGAAAAGGCGATTTCAAATTTGTTAAGCATTATGCACTTTCCTTTTAGTTAGCTTTAATAGCTGTTATGGTTGAGCCAAAGCTTCTTAACTCAAAAGTCTAGGATTTGTTGTGAAACTCAAGTCAAGGTTTACATCACAATAATATAGCGTCAATCGTATTCCGCGCTCTGAAAACAAGTACTAGTAGGGGTAAGCATTTCAATGGCCGTTTCAGCTTAATGTTGTAAGAAGCTTGACCTCTTAAGAAACCCACAGAAAATTCTATTGGTTAAGTGATGGCAAGTGTAATACAAAGCGGGAAACACACATTGTATTATATGCGCACATTGTATTACTCTGCAAGGGCTTTGGCAAGCATAGGTTGGTTCGTCCCCCCGGGGGGACTCCTATATCAAAAGGACATGGATACTCGTCGTAGCTTTTAGGTGTTAAGCCTCGAAAGATCCACAGCAAGAGTTTGTGCGTTACCTTTTGGGGCACTGAGTCGAAAAAA